TTTTTAGTATTATTTTATCTGACTTTATATACTTTGTTTTTTGCAGCGACTAGCAATCCTATAGAGGGGCTTTCTTACTTCATATCTTTTCTTTCTTGTTTAAACTAATAATACACTTCCTGTGTATTTTTTTTTTTTGATTAATAAAATTTTCTGATTATCTATCAAAAAAAAAAATATGTCTAAGATATCAAAAGCACTAGTTGAAAGAGAGGTTGGAAAGGACTCAAAAAGAATTTCATGTTTTGCATTTTCTTGACTATGAAAAACTCCATTAGGGCATGAAAGCTCCTCCATCAGTTCATGAGTTAACCCCTTCATGTACTTAAGACTTGGAGCATATTTGGTTAAGCTTAAAATGGTTACGTATTAAGTAAAAGAATAATATATTTATTGGTTGAAATTGAAAATAAGTTACTCATTTTGACACTAAAGTAAGAGTTACTTTCAAAATAAGTAGCTTTTTTTTTCTTAAATAGTAAGAGGAAAAAAGTCATCCGAACATGTCTGGAAACAAAAAGTTACTTCAAAATAACTCAAATTATTTTAAGCTTGCCATGCAAGTAACATGAGTCCTAGGTCATAGGGGTTTGAATGTTTAGCAAAACAAGGGGAATGTATAACATGTTCCTTACTCTTCCAAGTCCACCATATTCCCTAGCATCACTGTCCAGTGCAACTCTATATTTCCCCGGCAAGTCACAACCAACTTTGTATCTGTAAGTTGCATGTACAAGTCAAAACTTTAAGAATAACATACAAAACTTGGTATCCAACAAATCAAACCATAATATGTAAATGTGGAAATAACTCCATGATTAGGCAAGCCATTTAGTTCATAAAACAATTATATACCCTTCATATGTATTTACTTGGTGAAAGTTGAAGACAAATACTAGGTCTCCCCTCTCAAAGACAATGACCTGCAATGTAGAGAAATAAATTAATGAATAAACACAAGCACCAAATTCTATTGTATATGAACAAAAACTGACGGTACTAGTAATCTTCAAGCAAAATGATTCTTTTTCCTAAAACTTTTCAAACTAGAATACTGTAATATAGGAAGTCTCATGTACTAAAATATGTGGTATCATTCTAAACCACTCTATATGAATATTTGTGCACATGCGCATTGCACCAAGAATCTTTGCATCCATAAAATTCAATCAAGTAGAGCACACTATAAAGTATCATATATAGCTTTGACAATATGTATATAAAACATCTGTACCTTGTCATCTTCATCTCTGCTGCTCACGATCAGTTTTTCTGATGCAAGGAACGAAACATTTTCGTCGAGTAAATTCATAGCTCTGTTAAAAGCATTCAAGAACTGCATTTCCAAGGACAATTTGAGCAAAATGTTGGATTGAGATGCACATATTAGAATGAAATACATATAAATTGGTTGCAGCCTTGCAGGTAAATGGTTCATGGGAAAATGTAATAAGTTCATAGAAAAGATTAAATAGAAAAGGCTATTACATTGTTGGTTAAGAGCAAGTGTAAGATTGTATTTAGTTGTGAAGCATGGACAACCAAAATGTCAGTGCCCACGTGCCTTGGACACTCTGAGACAAGTATTTGACACGTGACATTGAGTGTCTTATTTTCTTTATTGGTCAAAATGCAAGAGACATGGGCCTGAAATGCCTCAAACAAGTAAACGACACGTCAGTTGGCATGTCCTATATTTTTCAGTTTTTGACATGTGAGGGACCCGACCCCAACACGTCAAGATTCAAGAACAAGATAAACTTTATTTTCTAAATCTTAAGTGCTAAAATAGAAAAAATAAATGTTATAAAAAATTTGCATAAAAAAGTCACGTGATTGTTAGAAAAACTGTAAAAGATTCAGGTTTAAATTTATTTTCTATCTACTACACACACTTTCTAATATATGAATATTTGATTTGATTTGCACTAGTAATACAAAGTAACCAAAGTTATTTAAATAGACATTCTAATTCAAAAGATTTAATCAAAGCCAATTTTAAAGTAATTTAATTGATTTGTCCCCAAAGTGTTTTGGTCTAATGTAATTGAAACGCCATGTCAATTTGTTTGTGTGCCCGGTCCCATGTCCTGTCTCTGAATCCGTTCTTCACAACTAATTAGTTTCAACAATATCATGGCTCTTAATAGACCTACTATAACAAATATGAAATAGATAGATTGTTCGTACATGACAGTTAAATCTGATTGAGAAATCTTGGAAACTTGATAATAAAAACTGATGCCAGTATTGAATAGGTGAACTTACTTTGCAGCATAGGCAAGGATAGTTCAGCTAAAGATTTAAGTAATCAAACAAGAGTGAACAAACCAAGTTTGTCATATTAAATATCAGCGAAATTGAACCTTGTATCTTAGATGATCTGTATCCACAAGGTTCCATTGGCGTCTGCACTTATCATAACTAAAGTCATTGCCTTCTCTAGGAAAGTCAATCCATTCCGGGTGGCCAAACTGCAATATAGATTACATCATTATGCAGTGTTTCTATGAGGGTGAAGGGAAGTATCTGAACGCTACCATTTTTGTGAGCTATATTTTCAAATTTCACCTTTTCTATTACATAGTTGCCATCTAACAGATTACTAAACCAGTGCAATTAACTCTTTCCTCAAGGAAAAAAATGAATAAAAACTCTTCCCCAGGGGATTAGCTTCAAACATTTCATAGTATTAATCAGCTTTTACAATAAGAAAGATCACTAAGTAGCATAATTTTACCAATCTATATGGATAAATGATATTTCAAAGTAGAGGGGGCCAAGGCCGTCCTTTTACTGCCAAAAAGCATTCTCGTCAAAAAAATATTTATCTCTGTTTTCGAAACAAAGGAGAATTGATTATTCAATATCCTTCTATGTATTTGATATAGGAATGGAAGATAATTTTAAACCCTTCCAATGCAAAAATCTAAATTAGCCCTCCAAAAACGCAAACCTTGGATATAAGAAAACTACAAAATTTTATTATATTATCACTCATCAAGTTTAATAGTTTGATGATAATAGCCAACCGGTTGTTTACCTCATTTCCCATAAAATTAAGGTAGCCATCTCCTCCTAATGCCATTGTTATGAAATGAATCATCTGCAGAGAAAATTATCACTTTAAACTACTAGACATACCACTGTTCGAAGCCACAATATCCAGAAGGCATTTAATACAAATGGATGAGACAAACCTTGTGAAGTGCAATTCCTCGCTCAATAACTGGAGAAGCATCTGTCAAACAGGACATACCAGTATACATTTCTTTGTCCATTAGCAAAAATGCAATAGTTTTGTCACCCACAATAGCCTACTCATATCATCAAGCAGGAAAAAATATTAGATTGGAGAAAGAAAAGCAATGCAAGATGCTAAAGAGATGAAAATCAAAAACAATTTTGGCTGATTCTCTCATTGGAGAAATACATATTTCTGTGAGTTACATTTCCAGAAAGCAAGTTTCTTCAGTAAACATTAACTTAGAGGAAGAAACAACATAAATATGAAAACATTTTTGAGCCTTTCTGGTGTAATTTTTGGAGATAGGTCTACACAGAGCAGTGTGGAAGAAGAAGATCCATGTAGCCAACCCCACATACGCATGGGATAGGGCTTTGTTAAATTGAGTTCAGTAGCATATACCTGATCATGACTCTCTGCATAAGCTATACACTTCTCAGTGTATCTCCTATTTGTCAAGCAACGAGTTATTTCCTCCATAGACCATTCTTCATCTTGCTTATTCTTCGCGTAGTCAATCCACTTGTCAGGAATAGCCATTGCCAGGCGGTAGTCAAAACCTATCCCTCCCTCAGAAACAGGCCGACAAAGTCCAGGCATACCAGAAACATCTTCTGCAATTATAGTTGCATCAGGCCAGATATTATGGATTAGATAATTGGCCAACATCAAATATATCACGGCATCAACATCTGTAGTCTCACTATAGTACTCATTATAGTTCCCAGTGAATGCCATGTCAATTCCATGGTGATGATACAACATTGAGGTCACTCCATCAAATCGAAATCCATCAAATTGAAACTCATCTAGCCACCACCTCAGATTGGATAGAAGGAAACGAAGAACTTCCCAGTTTGAATAGTTGAATAATCTGCTATCCCACAACTCATGGTAACCTCGCTCTCCAGTATGAAAATAAGAATCTTGTGAGCTTTGCCCAACATCAAAACCATTAAGGCCATCAGTGGCATTATTACTTGCATGGCTGTGAACAACGTCCATCAACACTCGGAGACCTAAGCTATGTGCTTTATCAATCAAATACTTAAGGTCCTCTGGAGTTCCTGATCTACTACTTACTGCAAAAAAGTTCGTAACATGATAACCGAATGATGCATAGTAGGAATGCTCCATCACAGCCATCAACTGGACTGTATTATAGTTGTTTGCTTGAATGCGAGGTAAAACATCATCAGCGAACTCTCTATATGTATTTATGCGGGATTCTGAACTACTCATTCCAACATGTGCTTCATATACACGCGGAGCCTTGGGCTTAGGTGGATGAGGGTATTTAAACTGGTACCTGCAAGGTTGATTAAGGAATAGGCTGTTTATTGCCTTCTTGTAGTTTCTTTTCACGGAGAACTGAGTCTCCTTCCAAATTGTATTTTACAAATTGAAAATTGACAATAGAAATTTCTTTTTACCAATATTATTAGACCATGTGAAAAACCATCTCAAATTCAGTACCTTGAATGTTGTTCGAATTGATCGAAGAGCTCATGAAATAGTTACAGTTACCTTTCTGAAGGTGGTGGGTCCCAGTACACTCCATCATAAGGTGCAGCAAATCTTGTAGGGTCCTGAGTGGCATACTTTATCCAGGCAGGGATCCTGTCAACCCATACTCCATCGCCATGCTTAAATCTGACTTTGACTCTTGAAGTGTGTGGAATGGCTGGGTTACCACCAGAATCCGGAATTCTGATACTCCACACACCAAATTGATTCTTATCCATCTTGTGATTTACACCATTCCATCCATTAAAATCACCGACAACTTCAGCTTCCCTGAGTTCCAAACAAGGTAATTATAAGGCTAACACCTAGAATGAGCATACATGCCAAAATAAGGACGATCACATTGCCGGACCTGAAATCGGGGGAAAAAAGACAAAACATGTAGTAACAAATCTTATTTCTAGGAGCTGAAGGACTCACTGAGCAGCAGGGAGCCATTCACGATAAACAATGAAACCTTCTTCTCGATTAAACCCAAATTTAGAATAACCTGAAATATAAGGTGTTTAGTCATTGAAAATAAATGAAAAATGTTTCCATTCAGTGATGGAAAAATTCAATTTCATGTGAGCCTTGGATTCATAGAGAGAGTTATGATTGTATCATGAAATTTTATTTGTATGCAAACATTGGCACTTTCAAGGTGGGTAACAAGTCAAGAGTTATAGAGTATGAATATTCAATCAACTTTTACATGTCCAACAAATATATTGGAGAAAAAGAAAGACACTTTTATTTCATCATTACCTCGTGCAAATTCCTCAAGGCTTCCTTCATGTATTTCAATGAGCTCTTTCTGATCTAAATATCTCTTCATTCTATACTTGAAATGATCTTTATAAGGTTCCAAGCCTGGATCTAGACTGATCAGGCCAATATTATCAGTGTCTTCTTCCACATTCATCATTGTTGAATTATCACCAGTCAGCACTGCCGAAAGAGAGAACCTCCCCACCTAGTGGGAATTGCACCAGAGAAATACTTAATTATGAAAGTATAGGTAATAAATCTGAGAGAAAAAGAAGGATATCAATTTTTTTTAGAGACCAACTCTTCCATAACAATTTAGGAGTTTCACATCTCTAACAGGTTCATGTGCCAAAGGCTGATTTAGTCTCATCTTGCTTTTCATTGCTGGTAGATATAAGAAAATTTAGGATAAGAAACTAAGAACAGAAAAATATGATCAGAGGTATTCTTATGGTGGAAATCATGATCCACGGGGAAAAAAATAACTATTGTTCTTCATCTCACTTGATCCACCTAACACTAAAGGTTGATGGGACAATCAACATGTACTACTGTCACCAAATATAATAATGGTGGAAAGGTTAAGGCATCAGTTACTATTGGAGAATTGTCTGAAATTATATTGAAGTACTACATAAGATGAACATGAAAAGCTAAAACATACCTTTCGAGTCGTTATGATACATAACGGGGAAATATCAATGGCATTTGTGAGCAATTTCCGAGGACCAAAGATTAGTCCAGTTGGTTGTGATGTGACAGACCTACTACTCGATGACTGTCAAAAAAAGTTGCACAACGGGATATATGGATTGTTGAAAAATTACTATAATTTGAATAACTAACTTTGATTAAAAAAACTTTACAGTTTCAATTATGGATTTCAATGTGGAAGATCAATATCCAACCACTGAGCAAAAAAGGATCGGACTTTCTTTTTTACATTTATTTAAGGTCATCAAATACTATGAAGCAACATAAAGTGTAATCGTATGGTACCCCATAGAGTTAGGTATAATAAGATACTTGCCTTGCCTTTTATTTCAAAAATTTAACTATTGATCTCTACTTTAATTTCAACATGAAAACTTGTCATTGTTCTTGAATCATCACCTCAACTAAAAAGTCAAGCTTTTATATGAAAGAATTTTGTTTATAAATATACATCAACACGTCCCCGATTTCATAAAATTTTCATAAATAGGCAATAACAGGGCTAAAACCTCAGAATAATCTAAGCAACCATCTCATTGTAAAGCCTAAATTGTTAAGAAAATATTAACTCATATATATCTATATGCAAACCTGATCCATTTTTCTTCATTCCAAAACTCCGTAAATTGAAGGATTAACTCATTTAATAACTTGGAATTAGAAATGAACTTTAAACAGTTATCATGTACCATCGCAATGTTGCCAGAACAATTAATTCATCTCTTAATTCTCTTTCACTTCATTTCAAGTTAACACCCCAAACGAAGAACAACGACGAAAAAAAAATCTGCTCATACTTTCGAAAATTCAAGCTCCAAGAAACTTGATCAAACAATCAAACACAAACAAAAGAAAATGTAAGAAAGTAGAGTGTAGTGAATTACCGACGATGAATCTCTTCTTGGAACCGGAGTCCGGGACCCAAGAGCAGGTACTGAGAGAAGATTGCACGAACTGTACATTTTAATCCAAAGGGAAAAAAACCGCTTAATAAAAATTTCTATGCTCTTAGTTCACTTGTATTAAAGTTTGATACTTGGAGTGCAGAGAGCACACAACAGCTCCTCTCCAGTTCCATTTTCGCCAAATTTCTCCAGTGCATACGAAAGTCGCACTCGCACTTAAGTTTCGACTTCAGTAACATAACGCCATCTGAAAAATCTTAAAAGTGGGTCCAGTAGACAAACAGTAAAGCGCATTTGGCTTTCCTTGATGATATGATTGATGGTGAAATGAATCAAATCATATGATTTGCAGCGCCACGTGACAAATTATGCTCCGTTAGAAATAAGGAAAAAGTCGTGATCGTGCAATGAAGCAAATCATTGCTTTGCAGCGTGACAAATTGTGCTCCGTTAAAGATAAGGAAGAAGTCACGAGTATAAATAATTTTTCACTGAATTATCGACATTGACGTGACAGCAAATAATTTGACTGTTTTTTCCTCTTTCAATCAATTCCCACGTTGTCTTCTAAAATTTTCTGTATCTATTGCATGATTGTAAAAATAAATAGAAACGCGCTGTTATTGTTTCTTTTTCCTATTTTGGCTAAAACAATTGTGAAATTTTTTATATATAACCAATAATATAGAATACGTTCAAATATGTTTAAATTGCTTAGTGCATGTTTGAGAATGTTTTTAATAGTTTATAAGTTGTTTATTTTACAAAATTTGTGATAATGAGAGAGTAGTATTAGTACTAAATAATTAGTTGAACATTATCATTAAGAAGAAAATAATAGGGAACACTTGATGTAGAAATTAGGTCGCTATATGTAGCTAACACCTTGAACACTATAAACATAGACACTTGATCATTGATGAGCTCAAAAACGCAAGTCGATATTTTTGTTACTTGCATATTCTATCCCGCCTACAGTGAAACAATGTATATCACCATTTTTTTCTTACATTAGCATGAAACCCGCCAATTATTATGTGAAGATTCACGCATCTGTGCAAAGTGTTTGAATATGGTTACACACTGTCAAAGTATTATGTTCCTTGGACAGGCTCAAGGAGGGACATAGTGATGTGACATATAATAATTGTGTGTTGTGTTTTTATTATTTTCAGTTAAATCATACATCGACAAATGTCTTCCTATTTTTAACATGTCTTTAAATCTGTTTGTATAGCATAATTGTTGTCAAATTTGGACGGGAGAGGAAGATATTGATAAAAATTTGTCCTTCGATGTGGAATAGAATTTGACATTGACTTTCAAGTAGCAAACAAAAGCGAGATATTCCTGCACAATTTCAAAACTTGATAAGAAATGAAATTTCAAAACATTTGAAGGTAACATCCAGCTTATATGTTAAGAATCCCTATCTGAAATAGAAGTAAGCCAAAATTAATCTGTGATTGAAAACTTTCACTGAGAACAAACCTACAAATACACTGTCAACAAATGGAAACTGAAAAAATATATATATAAATAAATAAATAAAATCGTGATGATGAAAAAAAATGATAATTCAAATACCTTTCACGATTCTTCTAAAGGAGATGTTTTGTGGGGGAATAAACAGATCTATTAACAAGCCAAGTGGAAGCTTTTAAATATTTTTTTAAGCAACCAAATGTGCAATCTTCTTGCAGAACTTGTGGCCATTTAGATAAGTTGAATTCTAAACCAACCGTAGATGAACAACCACTGGTATTTACTTGGCGAGAAATCATGTTGAACATTCTTGTACAAGTAGGAGAAGGTTCTGGAGGAACGCCCAGTAACTCCAGGTTCGACCATGACCTTGTGGTAAATTTGTAAATGTTATGCCCTATATCGAATCAATTTTGGACATGAACACTTTTAATATATAATTGATACATATTTATGGCAAAATCAATTATTTAATTGAATTAATGTTCTAATAAATTAAATAATAGAATCCGTAGATTCAAATATTGATAATTTGTTATTCACAAAGAGTTTTGATTGTGAGATACAAATTATATATGACAAAATCTTAAATCGTCAATGATCGCATATCTCGTTATTATCGATTGGCCATCACATGTGACATTTCTTACTTGTGAAGTAAGTAGCTAGTCTCATAAGCTAAAGTGTGATGACACTTAAATGAAGACGTGAATGTTTTGTTATAAAACAAAACATTGGACAAAACATTGGAGACCCGCTAGGGATATTCCACATAGATAACTATTTGAGTTTCGGTAGTTAATCTCTAACGCTCAGTGATGGAATTAGTCATTTGACTTGAAGTCATCATATCGTCTTATATAAAAATAGTCATATTTTGGTGATATTGGATGTTGCTCTGCCAAGGATCGCTAATACGGCATTGTTAGAGTATGTCAAGAATCATATGAAGATTGTGAATGATTAATAGATGATTCATCACTATTAGATAGTAAAAGATTATGATCTATATTTCATTCAATTAAATTGATAATGAAATCATTGGTCAATGTGTACCATAAGTCGAAAATGAGTTATTGACTTACATTGATTTAATAGCGGGATTAAATATATTATCGATAATTGAGATTGACACATATTCATTTCTCGTAATTGATTGAATCATATTGACGAAAATATTATAGTTTCATGGTAAATGAACAAGTTTGGTTTGTCAAACCATGAGAAATTTTTCATCACATATATTGCTCTTGAATGTAGATGTTGGCATTGCTTTTGTAAATAAATCAGTCACATTGTTACTTGAGAGAATTTTTTGAAAATTGATGTCTTCATTCTTCTGAAATTTATGTATATGAAAGAATTTTGGAGAAATATGTTTCGTCTTGTCACCTTTGATATAATCTCATTTGAGTTGTGCAATACAAGTAGCATTGTTTTAATACAAAATTATTGGATTATCTTTTGTGAAATTAATTCATATTATGCTAGGATATGATATGTCATGTTCCTCAACCATATACATTCTCGGTACGTTTCATGGATTGCAATAATCAGAATTATTTGAGGATGTTGCTGTCAATGATTGCTTTACATATCTCCATGATATAGATGTTCCTCCACGTGTAAATATGTATCATGTTTGTGATTTAGCTTTATGTGTGTCAGGGAGATAACCTACATCTGCATATCCTACTAAATCAGATCTCAACTTTTGAGAATAAAATAATCTCAAATCATTAGTGCTCTTTAGGTAACGAAAAATATGTTTAACATCATTTCCAATGTCTTTGTATTGGTGTAGAGCTATATCTTGCAAGGAGATTAACAGAAAAAACTATGCTAGATCAAGTACAGTTGGCAAGATAAGTTAATGCTCCAATTGCATTAAGATATGGTACTTCGGGACCAAGACCTTTTCTCCATCTTCAAGTTGACGAAAATGATCATTTTTCACATCAAGTGGCCGAACCACTATAGGTAATGCCAATGAATGTGCATTATCCATATAAAAACGTTGTAAGACTTTTTCTGTATATGTAGATTGATGAACAAATAATCTTTCTGAGAAATATTCAATTTGCAACCCAAGATAGAATTTGATTTCTTTCCAAATCTTTCATCTTAAATTAATTTTTCAACTAATTTACAATTTTGTTTACTTCTTCAAAAGTTCCAATTTAATTAAATTATCAATATAAACTGCCAGAATTGTAAATCTAATATTTATTTTCTTTATGAAAATACATGGGCATATATCGTCATTTTTATAACATTCCTTCGACAAATATTCATTGAAGCGATTATACTTTATGCGTCCAGATTGTTTCAATCCATATAATGATCTTTACAATTTAATTGAGAACATGGTTCTCGGGCATGTATCATTTGTTTCTCGCACTTTAAGTCTTTCAGAGATTTTCACATATATGTCACTATTAAGTGAACTATACAAACAGTTCATTTGTTTCTCGCACTTTAAGTTATTCAAGGACTTTCATATATATGTCACTACATCCATAAAGCGCATATCGAGCATTTGTGACATTGTCAAACTAATTAAGAATCTAAAAGTGATTATATCTATTACGGGATAATATGTTTCCTCATAATCAATTCCTGATTTTTGTGGGAAAACCTTGAGTTACGAGTCAGGACTTGTATCTTATAATTTCACTATTTTCATTTTCTCTTTCATACAAAAACATATTTGTATCCAATATGGATTACATTTTCAACTGTTTGAACTACAAGTCCAAATACTTTCCGTTTTTCCAAGGAATGTAATTCCGTCTGTATGACTTCTTTCCACTCTGGCCAATCATTTCTATTTTGACAGTCTTTAATAGATTGTGATTCAGGATCCTCATTTTGCATAATATCAAGAGCCACATTAAATTTGAAAATATTGTCTATAATAACATTATTTCTTTCTCAGAATTTATGAGATAAAATATAATTTATTAAAACTCGTTATTTTCGGACACTTGTGGTTCTTCAGAAACCATATTTCAATATTGAATGATCAATATTTTCTAATATTACTTTTTCGAAAGTTTTTGGTTGATTTTTCTCTTGTACTTTTCTTTTTCTAGGTACAGAGTGTTTTGAATTAACTGGTTGATCACGCTTCTTGCGTATTTGACATTCATTTGCTACAATAAATTGTCCTACAAGGACATTAATTTTTGCTAGAATTTTTTCTACTAATATATATGACTTTGTCACTTTTCTTGTGTCAACAATGACATCTAGTAATTAATTTGCAACTCTTTGCAAATGAATAATTTTTTCAATCTCTTGTTGACATTGACTGCTCTGGGGGGTCAAAGTGAGATATGGTTGTTTCATTCCATTAAATCTTACATTGTTTATCAAGATGTAATTTTTTCCCTCCCAAAGTTGAGAAAGACATTTCATCAAAATGACAATCTGCAAAATGTGCAGTAAATAAATCACCCGTTAAAGGTTCAAGATATCTAATAATCGATGGTGAATCAAAACCCTCATAAATTCTAAGTTTTCGTTGTGGACCCATTTTAGTCCATTGTGGGGTTGAAATAGGGACTTGA